TTACTTCTGATTTGTTAATTTCCAATCCATTCCGCATATCAATCTTACCAAAACGCTCATTACATTTCTCATTACTTCCACTTCTCTTGAGTTTATCCTGTTGCTGAGACTCACACAAATTAACCCATTCCTGTATTCTATCTTCTCTGTTGACATCATTATCATCGATGGATATTTTGGTTTTAGCATCTGCATTCTCTTCAATTTCCGCTAATTGCAAGGCTAGTTCTAGATCCATCAATTCTTGAGCCCGCTTCTGTTCTCTTCTTGCCAATTCTAATTCTTTCTTCTCCATTTCTGCTTCCATAGCTAATCTTCTTTTGGTCATTTCTAATTTGGCTTCTAACGTTTTCCTTCCGGAACTTGCTTGGGAATGATTCGACGTGGGAATTTTCCTGACGATTTCAGATTGACTCTTGCTATTTGCATTCTTCATCATCAATCTCTGACTCTTCCTCTGGATAGGTTTTTCGGATGATACAGTCTTGTGACGATCTGACATTTTTTTTGACGGTGTCAAAAAAAATAATTTTTTATCTTTTTAATCACTGGAAGAACTTCTTGAAATATACTTTGGAACTCTTCTCCGTAGGTGATTCTTTTAATGGCTCGAAGGACCACTATGTATCAGTCTTTTTGTCTTTATATATCTTTTTCAAAATTAAATGAAAATATTGAAATTGTATCTGCTTTATTATTATTATTTTTCTATGGCAATAACATTTTTACATTCTTCATCTGTTCCTAATACATGGTCAATTATTTTAAAATACAATGAATATCTGCGACAATACCCTTGAACTGTTGGATTCTGTCCAAAAAGAGCAATTCGTCTCGTGGGTGATGCCTCGCTCAGAAACTCACTCACTTCTCGAGAACACCGAAAAAAAGTTGGCGATCTGGCTCTATTTTGTAGATATTTTCATGGACGCTGCTCTTCTGGAATATCACCAATTGTTCCTTCCTTGGCAGTCCCTGCGAGATCAACCCATCGAGGTGAGGCTTCGCACCCCTTCGTGGTCACTTTGGAAACCTTCAGAACATCTCGTTTCAAAGACTCGTTCATCCAACGAACAGCGAGGCTCTGGAACACATCGCCAAGGGAGGTGTTCCCCGAAGCATATTATAACCTCCAGAAATTTAAGAAGAACACCAATTCTTACCTTATTTCTTTTGGTTCTCACAATGTTGTCTGGACATTACAGGATATCTCGTTTCGTGGGAACCAGAACATAAAAAAAAAACTATATCATTTGTGGAGAAATAATAAAAATTTCATACATATTACTCGAAACTACTACTGAAAATTCAACCGTATTACACTGAATTATATTCTTTCAACAATTTAGTAATCATTCAGTTCATATTATCTGTTTCCTTTTAAAAAGTTCAAGGTTTATTTTACTGTTACCCTGACCCCTTTATGTGTTGGTATCTTTTGCTTACTATACAGTTGGTTTTTTACTAGGGTGGACCAATAGTGTGGCGAAGTGAGACAACGACTTTGCTGTTTGAGATAGATTAACAATAGTTATTTATACACCAAGGTAGTAAAGAATATCATTATCACCCAGTGACCAAGAGTAATATTCCGGGGTTTCAGCCAAACGGTATAAAGTCCCGTGGTAATACAATTCTTCACTACCAAGGTTTAAATTAAATGTTTTCACCACTAGCAATATATTTCAATCATTTTAGTTCTTTGAAACCGAAATATGGACCTATTGTCACTATGAAAGCTCTTATTTTCAATAATTTGCCATGAGACAGCATACGACTAGTCCTATGGGACACCCTGTATTTTATTGCATTCCTAGATTCTCCCTTGTTATCCTTATCTCATCGATCTATCACACTTCGGATTCAGGGAAAATGCATGATTCTTAAAATCATGATTACAGATATATAGGGTGTGAAAAATCGAGATTTCCCAACTTTCGGAATTTCTTGTGTTAAAAGTACTCATTAGTAACATTTCCTGACATTTGAATTGATCGAATACAGGGTGGATCATAATCAATTCTACTAATGTATCACAAATGTGAGTGCTGATTGATATCATTTGAAGAAACATCCCAGGGGCGTGATAATGGGGGTCCACATCTCCTTCTTCCTCTCCTAATCTTTGGTGTCACTGGATATTTTACAAAAATAATAAAATTTTTGGATTTCTTGTTCAATTCAAAGAATGAATGCGAATTTTTGATTCAGGGCAATCGTTCTTGGGATTCTTATTTGAATTTGAAGGTAGTTGCAAAAAGGCTAGAACCTAATTATGAGGTTTTGAACAGGGTGTGAATAGTATGGCTTCAAATAATCTTTATGAAGTACACATTACAGTGTTGATTTTTATGATTCCAAACCTAACGCGACCTGTCGGGAACTCAATAGAGATGTCAAAACACCATGTATCTTTGTTAAAAAACATGTTCAACCATAGAGTTGTTTCACGGAACTCTACTTATTTCCAGTGGTTCTATTGCCTATCAAAATTAATGACGTTCAACCTGGACCATCCTGTATATACGTTGGAGATTAACTATACAACGGAAATTATGCACGAAAATGTCCCACTCAGAACAAAATTGCATAATCTCGGTTGGCGTATTCAAATCGAGGTATTTCAGGACAGAATTGAGAGCTAAAAGGTCCTAATGTACACGGGTCAAAAGAGAGATGAGTGCGGGTTTTAATAAAACCGAAAATGGAAATTATGCAGGATTCCCGCATTGAAGTCGATGCGAGCAAATTACTTTTCTGATTGCTAACCCATTTCCCGTAGGATAGTGACTGTAATTGGTTTTTCAAGTGATCGCAATTGACTATTTGCATGAGAAGGAGAAACGAGAATCAACAATCACAATTTATTTTGGATCTAAACTCAAGATATTTTCCAGCATGAGAAGATCCTATACTTATGTATATCTATTTATACAGGGTTTCCCGAAATTAGCCTGCCAAATTTCACCAGCGGATTCTACGATCAAAAATAGGAAGAAAAGTTTCAATGAACATGACATTACCCGTCTCTTGAGGAAACGGGAAACGGGACTCCTGAAGATGATATTTCTTGAATATTTCCGAAACGCCATGTGATAAAATGCTGCTTTTTGGTAACAGAACTAAACTTTCCATGCCCAATACATTGAGAATGAAATCATTTGAAAATTCCATTCAGAAGTGTGTAATACAGGGTGAGACTACATTGAATATTGCTGAAACTTTTTTGTGTGCATATTTTTCGATAATAAATTCACACCGTTTTTCAGAAAAGAGTTGCACTTGTTTCGTATCGTATCTTATAATTTAAAAATATTATTGCACTTATATCTTATGCATAACGTTGCCAATTTGCAAATCATAGTGGCTAGAAAAAATCAACGACTTTATTTCCACCAAACAATCTCACAGAAGTGCGGTAAAACAGGGATATGATGCTAAAAAACTACTTCAATTTGTGTGCATTCTTTTCCATATTCACTTAGATTGATTGTAATATTATGCATAATATCTGAGATGTAACAATATATTTGAATCGATTTTACTCGAAAATGATACATCTGATCGATACGGAATAAGTGTACATTTTTTCTGTAAAGTGGTGTGGATTTTCATAATCCAAAACTGAATTTTCGAAAAATATGCATTCATGAAAGTTTGAGTAATAATGCAGTATCACCCTGTATTGTACACTCCTGAATAAAATTTTGGAATGAATTTATTCTCACTCTCTCTCAATTTATATCCTTTGAAACTTTTCTTTCTATTTTTTTGTCGTAGAAGCCACTGGTGCAATTCGGCATGCAAATTTTGGGACACAATGTATATCAAGGTAGTAAAGGAATCCTTTTCCTCCCACGTGTGAAGTTCAAAAGTATGAGGAGCCTCAAAAACTGAATGATAGCCTTTGATTGATCAGATGAGTCACCTGGTCATCATCAAAAGTGGAGTGGAGAGACTGGTTTCAATTGCCAGCTATAATCAATCCTTAGAGATATGTGAAAATTAGGCTCACCAAATTTTGATTGATATTGATGATCTGATCGATCAACAAGGATATCATTAACTCTCATGATAAATCATTAACATTGGCAACGCCGTATATATTTGGAGTATGATGTCATTTTTTTCTCTCGATTCACCAAGTCAATTCTCAACCGCGATATGTCACATGCAGATATATGATGGATGCGTAACCAACGATAACAACAGTCATATAGTCGAATGGATTGCTGCGATCCGAGGAATTTTTTGAATATGAAGAAACAGTGGCGTATCTCTACGTGATGCTGATCATGTCTCAACCTTCATTCTAGAAATTGGAGATTTCATGAAAAATGCCTTCAAAGTCATGGTTGATTATGGAAATTGAGTTTTCTCCAAAGACTTCAGAGACCTGGGCTGGTGGCCGTGAGCGTAGAGTCGCTGGCTGTTGCCCAGGCGGTCCGGGTTCGATCCCCGGCGCGAGCACTGAATTAATTTTCGGTAGTTTCGTTGGGCGGGAGGAGATAGGTGGCCAACCCAACATTCTTGGTACCTAGATATCAATCCTTTGGACTGTCCACGGTTACCAGCCGAGTAGTGCTTCGGATGACACTTAAAAAGCTAAGGTCCCCGTCTTCTTAACTCACACAAGTCTCTGACTTTCGAGGGTTGCTTTGCAACTAAGCTGGCGGTTAAAAACACTTTTACACACTTTTTTTAAACAACACTTTTTTTTTACCTCAGGCTATTTCAATTCTGCATTCTCCATTTCGCTCAAGCTATCAGCAGTCAAGATATATGTCTTACTTTTGAGATAACATGATATGATACTTACTGCATCAAAACGCTAATGCAGCTAGCGAACATGACAAAGTCACACTATTGTGATTTACAAAGTTCTGAGGCAGGGAATGATTACTTTGTTATATATAAACGATGGACAGCATCTACATTTTTTTTTGGTCTTTGAGGTCATTATTTTTGGTTCTGAGTCGTATAGATACGGAAGGCTAGTTTCAGAATCCTCCATATATCTGGGAGCTCTTGAGTCTTTCTTCAGCCAGCTTGAGATATGTTGTCAAACCTTCACTGTGGAAGTTGTATAAATACTTGTTGCCAATAAATCCTGAATCCCTCTTGTATCTGGGAGCACTTGGTGTTTCTTCAGTCATCTTCAGGAACCTTGGTCTTGTCAGGCTGTTTTTCCTTCGCCTGCTGACCTGCCAGGCCAATTGCTCTTATATGTTTGTTGAGCCTTCAAGGTTTCAATAGAAATCTTTGAACTGAAGAACAGTTTTCCTACTCACATAACTGAAATGGCATTTAGTGAACGGATATGTACCACGCCTAATGATCTTATTCACAAAGGTCAATAAACAAGCCTATGGACTGGACGCACATCTACAACCATTTTAACTTATACGTGTCTCGTTGGTTGCATGCAGTTGCATAGTATTATGTATTATGTTCTCAATTCCCATTCCCATCGAATTATTCTGTAATTTAGCAGGTAGGTTAATATAATTTTCGGAATTATGTATGTATGTAACGCGTTTATAAACTCTTCTAGACACTCGTTTATCAAACATTCGCTCCTATCTGCTGCGCTTGTGCTTGAAACACTCGCTAGTAAAATAACGTTTATAACACTTGTTAACATAATATACTATTTTTGGTATTGTCCGACTTATTACAGAAGTCCGGCTATATGTATTTAGGAGGTCCTGAAACTTGGACTTCTCATGCGCTGGCCAGAAACTATGCTAACTATCAAAAGTATGGATCGTTTGTCTTTCACTTTTCAGAATGAAATCATCTGTGCTACTGAAATTGGTACAATAGGTATGTGATAGGATGCATCGCAACCGACTTCCTCAGTCAATTTTCTCACATTAATATGTAGTAAATGTAGTAATGTAGTACACGAGTATCACTATATAGATGCATTAATAACGAAAAAGCTTCTGTAGTTGAATTTTCACTAAGATATACAAAAATCTGGTTACCCAATTGATGTTTGTTACGGCTATGGTTATAAATTGAGAGGCAGCAGACTAGGACATGAATCATGCATTCGGTAAGCCTGAGGACTGAGAGGATCTGGAGCGTTATATTCCAAAATCCGGGGATAAAGAGTGTCCTACTCTACCCAATGTCAATGCCTTCATGGAAGGAAAAAGGTCATACGATTGAATGTTAATGGCCCTAAAGTTGTGAATTCGAAATTCGATATATTTCTTTATTGCGATGAAATGTTTCAATAAAATGGATGCTGGATCCTGGATGCTGAATGCTGTATGTTGGATCTTGGATGAAAACAGTTTACACGAGTTCTAGTATCGACAAAGGAATTATTTTTTTAGAAATTTCAATCAACAGATCGATATCACGAGTTGAATGATGGTCATACCGAGGTCATAATGAGATTTGATTCCCAATGAATATGTCCGCAAACGCTTCATTGCCGATCTACAGGGCGTTAAGGATTCAAGATTTTTTTATTCACGAGCACCTTTCATGAAAAGCCCAGGTTCGTTGGATTGCTTATACTTCAGGTAACATTTGGAAACTTGTAATTGAGATCAAAAACCAAATATGCATCATTTTTGTTTTCATTGTGATGATAGTTTGCTCCCTTTTATCAAAATTGTAATTTATTAAATCGAGCGAATTATAAAAATTGATTTTTTTTCTCGATAACGGTCGCGGATGAGAAAAATTACTGGAGACCAAAAAGTTCAAAAGACAACAAAGCACACATTTTGAATTTCGAAATATACCAGTGGCACACCAGAAAGAAGTTCATGGAGCAAAAACGCCTTGATCCGTGTAGATTTTTACAATCACTTAGTATCGGCTATGATGTATAATATCAACCTTAAATCGTAACCTAAACTGCTCCACATTCGAAGTGAGACAAGCAAAAACTTCTATCATTTTCGAACCGTCATAACTTTGGAGTGGATCAACCAATTTTCAATTCCTTTCAAGATTCTGATAGCACATTCCATTGAGTACAACGTCAGTATTTTTTGTTATTCCACCTTTCGGACATGAAGACCTACTGAGTGATATATGAAAATGTGATAATTTTCGAAAAGTTTGGAATCACCCCGTTTGAACGGGATTTTTTTTTATTTTTTATTGAGGGCGATGAAATGACGAACAATGAGTTTTCTCGAAATGGTTTTGAATTCAAGAGGATTCATAAAGGATGTTCGAATGTATGGAATTTTTCACAAAAGATTGCATTCTGATATGTTCAACCACCATAAACTCAACTTCAACAGAATTTTACATTGGCACATCTTCAAAGTCATTACTACACAATGTGTTGTACATTTTCGAAAATAGGGGATGTAGAAATAAATAGAAATATCACGAACAAAATGCCGTTAATAATAATTATTAACACAATATTAATGATTCGTCGCCGCCGCCGCTGCTCAGGATCAGTATATAAAATTGACATGGGGTGGTATCATGATGAATCGTTGCCCCACGTTGGTTATTTTGAGAGAGAGTATGAATACTCTTCGGTATCAATTAGACATTCATTGTGTTAGGGAAGTTGTCGTTCCAGTTGCCCAATACTTTTGTTGACAATTTCATACTGGTTGATGATAATGATAATGAACTACCACATCGTGCGAGACTTGTCACTGGAGTTTGAAGACAACATAATATTGCTTACATTTTCTCTGTCACACGTCTTATTATTGAGCATATGGAAATTTCGAACGAGAATATCTTCGTAATCGTTCGAAATAACTCTCTCAAACTCAGTATTGTTGAATTCGTTATGATAATCCCTAACCATATATGGAATGAAATACAGGATGTCCCATTTGAAAATTGAAAGATTGGCTTGTTTCTGGTCAAATCGGGAAGTGATGGGAGAGTATGAAATTTTGAAAAATTGACCAATTCTCGAATTCTACACCCCAGCCAAATTCGAATCTCATACCTCTGGAAATTTGGAAACCATGATTTGTCTGAAAAATTCGATGATACCTGGTATGTTTGAAAATGTACAACACATTGTATAGTGATAGCGTTGAGCAGGATAAGCTAATCACAAGTTCTGTTGAAGTTGAGTTTAGTTGGTTGAACATCAGAATGCAAAATATTGTGAAAAATTCCATGTATCACAACTTCCTATCTCAAACTTGCCGAAAATTGCAATATACTGTGAAAAATTCCATACATCGAAACATCCTGTATGAATCCTCTTGAATCCAAAACCATTTCGGGAAAACTCATTGTCCTTCATTTTATCGCCCTCGATGGAACTTAAAAAAAATTCCCGGTGAAACGGGGTGATCCCAAACGTTTCGAAAATTATCACATTTTTAGATATCACCGTGTAGGTCTTCATGTCGAAAAGGTGAAATAACAAAACAGTACTGACAGTTTACTCTATGGAATGAGCTATCAGCATCTTGAAAGAAATTGAAAATTGGTTGATCCAATCCAAAGAATAATATGTTGTTATTGTTGTTTCTCAATGACGAATGCCCATGGTGGTTGACACTGTTGACATTTAACAGAACGTCAATAATACCCGCCATATTCGAAATAGCCAATCAGCATTTTGTGTTGGAACTATAGCCAATGAGACTTCACCTTCGCATTACCCAATGAATTGTTGGATCTAAAAAGGAGCGCATGCGTCTTAAAAATATATCTAGATGAAAAGGCCTATAGTGATGTTCATTCGTCATCTGACAGTGCTCTAGCACAGAATACTCAACAAGCTAGGAGTGTTTGGATTTTGATTGCATGAGGGTGATTATTTAAGCAGCTGAGTTCGACACGAAACGAACTTGGGACTCTTGAGTGGACGTTTCCAAAAATATGTGCAACTAATTGATAATAACTATATAAGTTCATTTCTCTACGTTACGGTATAACTGGTAATCCCTGGATGGAAGCTATTCTGCAACGATATTCTCTGCAGTTTCTGCTATAAGTAGAGTTCCATTATTTTTATCTCAACAGATGAAGCAAGGCTATATGTGGAATATCCTGGAGCGAAGGATAAACTGGGCATTTCATAGGATCTAGGGATGTTGGAAAATATGCTGGCGAAGAAGATTTTGGTATACTTTCGGTTATTTACTTTTATTGTTCTGTATTGCGGTAAAATCTTATGAGATTGCTTATACTCACGGACAGATCATATATATATCAGACAGAATAATGCAAGAATATCAGTAGGGGAGAACTACCTATGATGGCACCCCTAACGAATTATCTTGATATCAAAGTAAGATATTGATATTCGAGTGAATTTCTTTCAGTCTCTAGTTTTCCATTACTATATAATTCAATAGCATTGCAAAGGGGTGATTTTTCAAAAGATTTGTTCTGAAAAACGAAAACATATTTTTAGTCATCATAGGCACTTGATTTTTTGAATTGACACGGCCGTTACTTGATGGAAATCCATGATAAATGTGAAATCTTCACAAACGATAAGATTTCCACAATTTTTTAAACACACGACATGTTTCGCTAACACAGTAGCTTTGTCAGGTGATGTACTGGTACAGCGAACTGAAGGTTCTCTCAAAATTATGCCTCTTTCTTCATTGTATATCTATTTGTCCCTTTTGGAGATTCATAAGAATAAAAATGATCTCATGACAAATTCATGTGTTCACAGTTACCAGACTAGAAAAGCAGATAATCTCAGATTACCCCGCTTAAAATTTACAAAATCGGCAAAAAATTCTATAGATCTGAATTTTTATAATGTTCTTCCTCAGAATATAAAATCGTTGAGTCTCACCAGATTCAAGTCAGTTATAAAAAATTATATTTTGATACATTGTTTTACACTTCAGGAGATTATTTACTGTCTCCGTTCGACTCCTTATTGAGAAACACTTACTAATTTTAATTGAACTTAATTGTGTGTGCGTGTGATTGATATTTGTTCATCCATGTGAGATACGTTTGTGTTCTACTTATTTATTGTTTCAATTTTTATATATTTATTAACTCAAATTTCGTTGTTTCAATGAATTTGTATTGTACATGACTTGCCAAACACTAAATGTAAATTGGTTAAATAAATCTATTCCATTCTATTCTATTCTAAACCATGACGGCTGAAAATAAGCATTCAAAGTGTCCTCTTTGAGAAGAAAATGTACCTGACTTTTCGATTTTCCATATTATCTACTGGAAGGAAGATGTTGGGGGTAGGGAGTTT